TTTTTGTGTGTTGAGAAATATATATTTAAAAAAAAAATCCTCATATACAACCAAGTGGCAATTCACTATACTATCTTCTTCATTTGTCATAAAGTTTCCTTGTGAGACTATTAAACCAAAGCTTTGATCACTATCACTTCCCACAACTGTTACCGACTGAGTGCTTTTCCATTATGATTCTTTTGAGCACTGCTTCTTGTGGTGTCCACATGTGATTTTCTTTTTCTGGTGACCGAACATCTGAAACTTGTCCCTCCTCTTCTTCCACTAATGTTCTAACTACTAGACTTGAACCCAGGAGGACAAAATAACTTAGCTTCCAATTCGGGTAAACAAGTCACCCGTGATAATCGGCGTGGGCTTCACTCTTAAGCTTAAGGTAAAATGGGCTTCTTTGTGGTATCTATTCGTGGTCTACGTTTAGAAAAGGAAAAAAAACTTAAATATTTGGTTGATTCATTCATCTCTTTGTGTGAATGAATACTTTACTTTAATGATGCACTCTGGAATTTCTTGTTTTGTTTTTCTTCCCTTATGTTCTAGCATGTAGTAATTGCTTTTGCATTGTTGTGTAATGTGATTGGATAGATAGACTATTAGACATAATTTATACATAATTTATAATGCTCCATATGTGTGCTTGTACAGTTTTGAAGCTTTGAATCAGCGAGCAGTAGCAGTAGTGGTAGATCCAATTCAAAGTGTCAAGGGCAAAGTGGTGATTGATGCATTCCGCTCGATAAATCCACAGACCATCATGCTTGGTCAAGAACCACGTCAAACAACATCAAACCTGGGGCACCTGAACAAACCATCAATCCAGGTAATTACTCAATGGAACATGTTTTTTCTTGTTTAGATTAGAATAAGGGTGAAGAATGTCTCTGAAGTTGGCATTTTTTGGATGCTATCCAGGCCTTGATTCATGGATTGAACAGACACTATTACTCCATAGCCATTAATTATAGAAAGAACGAACTTGAGGAGAAGATATTAGTCAACCTCCACAAGAAGAAATGGGCAGATGGTCTGAATCTAAAACGATTTGACACTCACTCTAAGACTAATGAACAGACCGTCCAGGTATCTCTTAACCGAACATATAAGAAAACGGAACACTCATATTTCAATCAACATTATAGTCTCTGGTAGCCAATCGATTCATGTTTCAATCAACAGGAGATGTTGAGCTTGGCAGTCAAATACAACAAGACGGTACAAGAGGAGGAAGAGTTATCGCCTGAGAAACTGGCGATCGTGAATGTGGGAAGACAAGACGCGAAGAAGCATTTAGAAGAACATGTCTCCAACTTGATGTCATCAAACATTGTTCAGACTGTAGGCACTATGCTCGACACCGTTGTCTTCTAGAGAGGCCGCTTCTTACTTCTTGAATATGTTTTGTCCCAGCTTTTTCGAAATCTCTTTGGTTTACGCTGAATTGCTATCTATTTAAATCTAATCGCCTACCAAATATATTTTTTTAATAAAAAGGGATTGATATGTTTAGAATTGATACATGCATTCATACATGTTTTTGAAAGGCTAAGAGTTTATATATGCTACCAAAATATATATACTCTAAATATTAACTCTTCAATTCTAAATGCAGTTTATGAACTTGAACAATTTTTTTAAAGGAATGCTTAAACAGTACTACTGTACATGCTTTAAAAGGACAATTGGATTTATGTATGATACCAAAATTATATGTTTGGGTAAAGTATTGATATTGGGCCATAAAGAACCTCCGTGTTTCGAAAAAGTAAAAGGGTTCTGCCCAAAAATATACCCAAAATCGGAACCGTTAGACGGAAAACATACGCTCTCGGCCGTTGATTCTTAATAATTCCACGTAACTTCCATAGACTAGCATGTACACGATAACCGCTCGGCGTACTATCTATCTGAAGAACTAGTAGAAACTCTCTTCTTCTCGATCAAAAGAAAATCTTTGTGTCGTCGTCATCGTTCTTGTTCTGTCTCTCAAGGGTTTACACGACCTCCTTCTTCTTCAAGTAAAATCATGAGGTAAAATCACAAAATCGATGTCTTTTATATTATCGATGGATTTAAGGATACGATTTTTTTTAGTTTCCCGTAAATTGGGAACCAAAAAACATTTGGGGGTGGGGGTTTAGATTCCGACCTAGGGTTTTTTTTATGTTGTCGGGTCTGTAACTTCATCGATTGTTTATGAATGTCGCCTCGTGGAACTCTTGTTAAACCCTAAAAACCAGTGGAGAAATTAGATTTAGGGTTTTGGGATCTGTGCTTGTAGGGTTTTAAAGTTGCGGCTTTTGGTTAGTGTTCTTGTTTTGTTCATGTTATTTAGCTTTGAATCTGGTTGATTCTATGTGAATTTACTACAGTCATCATCCAGAAGTGAAGTGGGCAGAGAGAGAAGATAAGGTTTTCTTAACCGTGCTATTACCCGATGCTAAGGATGCAGATGTTAAACTTGATCCAGAGGGTGTTTTCAATTTCTCTGCTAAAGCTGGACCTGAAAATCAGCTTTATGAGCTTAAGCTTGAACTTAATGATAAGGTCAATGTAGAGGTGAGATTACGAGATTTTTGTCTACTCGTTATTTATGATTTTGTGTGTTTTTTCTATCGAGTTCTATAACTTTGTCGTTTTTTTCCGATTCAGGAAAGCAAAATCAACATTGGATTAAGAAGCATATTCTGTATCTTGGAGAAAGCAGAGCCGAAATGGTGGAGTAAGCTATTGCGTGGAGGGAAACCGCCTCACTATGTTAAAGTTGATTGGGACAAGTGGGTAGATGAGGACGAAGATACCGCCGCTGGTTAGAACCATCTTGACCATATGTCTATTCGACTATGCTCTCTGCAGTTTAACAAATTTGTAGGCATTGACTTTGGTCTTGTTTTTTTTTTCTTGTATAGCTCCAGGAGATATGGATATGGAT